ATTAGGAACCCCTTTGATAGCTGGAACATAAGTAGGAAAAGATTAGGATTAACTAAGTCAAAATAAGGAAGTTTGACTCATGTTTCCTTCTATGTAGCTGATTCCTTTTCTTCCAAGTCTTGAATTAATTTCTTCCATCTCTTTAGCAGATTCCTAGCCTCCTTTGGTCTTCAATTTCGTCCATCCACCTTGCTTCAAGCATGTGCTAACCATTCCAAGCCCAAAACTGCTCCAAATTGCACTTTCTTGCCACTTTATACAATTGGACCTACAAACACACGAAAATAGCTTAAAATACTAAAATAACTAAGAACTAACTAAGTAAATGCAAGGAATTAAACTAACAAAGTTGCATAAATATGCTCCTATCAATCTTCCTTCTTCTAGATCACCCATCTCTTCATCAATGCTCTCCTTGGTGTGGAGACTTAAAGGTTCTTTATTTTGGGAACTTGGAGTATCCATTCTACTATCTTCATCCAAGAAATCCATAGAGCTAAGAAGTAAGGAATGAAGGCCCTGTCTCTTCGGTGATTAGCCTTTGCTTATGCAAAGAGGAATAAACAAAAGTATAATATTTCTCAACTCGCTTTGTTCTTGAGTTGAGTCTTGGTTCACCACACTCAATAGGCCTTGAATTTCATGGGTAAAGTTTTATTTTTCAGTGCATACAAGCATGATTCTGCCTTTAATTGTTAATTGCATGCATAGATGTTGCTCAAATGAACTAGTTTTCACAAATATTTCCTTCAGCTCAAGTTAGAGAATTTGGGAAGTGGAGTCCCATTTGGGAAGGACCTTTCAGCATTAACAAAGTATTAGAAAGAGGAGGATACTACTTGACAGATTTGGAAGGAAACTTGCAAAGACATCCAGTCAATGCTAAGTTTTTGAAGAAATGTCACCCAACTTTGTGGGATGTTAGAGACTGTTACCTTGATGAGACTTAAATGTTCAAAGAAGTAGGAAAGATCTTTGTTATAATCAGAAACAGTTTAAGTATTGCAGGTATTTAGAATAAAACAAGTTGGAAATGAAGAAGCAAGTCATTTTTATTTCACAATGGAAGAAGGATACAAATGGTCTTAGCTAAACAAGTTTACATCCCTAGCCAAAGCAGCTATTATGGAGTAATAAGTTTGCATGATAGTAAAAATTCTACTAGGTTATTCTAAAGTAATATTGTTATTGGCTAGTTGGGCTTCAGCATCATCAACTTCCAGATTGACCTTCTTCACTTCATCAATCTTCTAATATAGCTTGCTTGCGAGGGTTATCTATTTAGCATTCAGTACAGATAGCTACTCGTCAAACTTGCTACTTTCAGAAGTCATTACCATGATACGATCTTCCATGGCTGAGCCTTCCTCCACTAGTTGTCACAAAGAAGCTAAAGTCCAAGTATGCTTCTCTTTGTAACACTTAAGTCAGTTGGATGCCCTCTCTACTCGTTGGTGCTGATCCCTCAGGGCCCTTAGGTTCTTGAAAAAGTTAAGGAATGACTCGTACTGAATCTTCAATATCTATTGAGCCTTGAATAACTCAATCAAAGCTTTCTCAACTTCTTGGAAGGCCTTCAGACTAAAAGAGGTTGTGAAGTCCTTCTTCATCCACTCCTTAATGATCCAGCGTTGATCCTAGAGGTTGTGAAGTCCTTCTTGCCTAATTCCCTTTCGCCAGTTCCATATTACCCTTAAATTATTGTGCACTTTGGGGCTAGCCTGAGACCTGGTACCTGCCAAGAATTAGGCTCAACTATACAAAAGTCTTCCTCAATGCCCATTTCCCTATCTCCTTCACAAGAATCTCAACTCAAGGTAATCAGTTCATTGTTTAACAAATGAATGAAAAACATGTATCTCAATCCATCCAAGTAATCGTATGCGCAATGAGTTTATGAATCCAACCACATAGATAAATATCAATCAATACGTATTAATCAGATAATAAAAGAATAAATATTTATGCTCCCTACCTGGTTCCAAAGCTACAACGTAAGTCCACGTAACTGCCAAACTGATCAAGTATTTTGATCCAACTCATGAGTTCCTATTCAAAGTATAAACTATCACTATTTAAGCATATATTATAACTCGTATTATAAATAGACTTTGTAGAATACATACTTTAATAAGTATGTATAATAATATCCCAAACAAAACATACTTCAGTTTTCTAGTAAAAATAGTTTTAAAACTAAAAGTTTTTGTATGGTGGAAATTTGCTATGAAAAATTAATATTGGATATCTGTACAAATCCACCAATAATATATAAATATATTATTACAATCAAAACTCGTTTCCAAAAAGAACACTCAACCAACCAAACTCAAAAACATACAAACTCTACTCTCAAGCCAGTTCGTAGCCAAAAAAGTTGAAACTCACCCAGATTTAGTTCTTTTAGCTATATTCCCCGTAGAAATGCTATCTTTTGTCTGTTGTAAAAACTCTGCTACCTTCACTTAGTATCGTAGTATCAATTCCCGCGTGTATAACTTAGTTATCTACCACCATTTTTAGCATACAAACCTTTGTGAACTCAAAGACAAGTGGCTGCAAGAAGTTCAACCTTACCCGACAAGGTGAAATCTTGCTCGAGTCTCTTTGTATGTACTTGTATTTGGTAGATCTATTGCTATATAGGCTTTTCATTGTATATTCAAGTCATTATCAACTGTTTTCCACCTAAGAAATCCCATTTACGTTCAAATTTGGTTAAGTTAAGAAACATGCTTTCGTTGAGAACAAATCGTATTTGAGGACATGGTTAAAAGGGTCTTGAACTCCCTTCATCCTGAACATACAAGATTATGAACTAAAACTCCTTGTTTACAAGGCAAGAAAAATAACTTAATGCAGATTCAACCCATCTGTGACAATCCTTGATAACAAGAAGTTTAAGTGACTTGGGGTGCAAGTAATCGACTTAAACCACACCTAGTCAACATCTGTTATACTAAGATAACAGTGGCACGCCTAAATACTTGTTAGTTTTTATTGCGAGCCTCAAGGCCTATACCAAAGGCCCTACAAGGGCACCGTTCAAATTAACTTTGAACTATTCTTGTAGTACACCAAGTAGCAAGAAGTCGCCTAACAACCAACCTCAACGCAAGTGCCAAACCTCCCAGAGGAGTTGTGCCAAGGCCGAATCCTTGCCCGAACAACATGATGTCATTTTAATAATCTAGCATTACTCTTCTTAACCTACCCAATTATTTAAACAAAAGTATAAGCAAGCTCCCATAGAAAATTTTGTGTAACCAAAATTTACCAGCCATTATTTTGCTCCTACATACTTGTACAATCATTTGTATCATTTCTCTAATAGAATTACGATCCACTAACACATATGGATCTTATTTTTATTTGAAAGATGATACAAATATGGTAGTAAAAATAGCAATATTGATTTATTATAGATTTGTAATTAATAAGGATCTCGTCCTTGAATAGGAATTTTATGTACCTTGACATTCTTGTACTTGTATGTATGTATGTATGTGTGTGTGTGTGTGTGTGTGTGTGTGTGTGTGTGTGTGTGTATTTCCTCCTAGAAAGAAGAAAAACATAACAATTAAAACCTTAAACTCTCGTGTAGTTTTACTATCTTGGTATTAGCAGGTTTTGGCCTTTCTCTTCCAAAATAAAAAGTCCTAAACCCCAAAAACCTATTCTTGCAATGTAACTTCCTTGGTTGCCAGGCCTTATATGCTTGTTGATTATCTTGCATTTGGACAATCAATCCTACCAAAAACCTAAATTTACCAATGCCGCTTTATGTTTTTTTAAGCAGCATAAAAATCTTAATCATTGCCGTGCGGTTTGTTCCTAAAAGTCGGCACTAAAAATCTTAAACCTAAGCCTACATCACCAATCCACTGCAACCATGGGAGAGAATACAATATTGTCTCTTGTTGATAATCAGGATGATTCAGGAACTCGGAAAAGTCTTAATTACGTCTAGAGATCGTGACTTTGGTTGGATTATTGATTCCAAGAATACTGACCACCTAACATATGACAAGTTTCTCTTTCAATACATGATTCCTCTTCTAAAAGAAAGTGTTGTCACTACTAATGGCTATGTTATCTCAGTAATGGAGGCTGGTCCAATTGCATTTATCCCATCTTTAACCTTACACAATACCTTTCTTATTCCGACATTATTAAATCATCTTTTATCGGTCGGTCAAGTTACTGAACAACTAAATTATATCCTACTAACGTTTCCTTTTTTGCTTAATTCAGGGTATCCGGATGCGGGCTATAATTAGGTGTGGTACTAAAAGAAGAGGGTTGTATTATGTCGTTGATGTGGCGCTCAAAAGAGTGAATCAAGTACGTAGTGTAGTGGGAACGGTGACAAAGGTAAGAAGATTTGGTTAAGACATCGCAGACTTGGGCATGCCTCATTTAGCTATTTACAAAAGTTGGTTCCGTCATTATTTACTAGTATTCATACTCTAAACTAAACTATCATGTATGTACTCTAACAAATAGTTATCAAACCTTTTATCCATTGAGTTCCACTAAAAGAACCGTTCCTTTTGAATTGGTGCATTGTGATGTGTGGGGGTCCCTCCCCTGTTTCAACTCTAAACGAAATTTGAGGATTGATTATCTGTGGATTACTATACTGGGATGACTTGGCTCTATATAGTGAAACACAAGAGCTATGTTACTCTAATTGTCAAGAATTTTCACCATATCGTTCGGACTCTATTTTCGCTTCCAATCAATGTATTAAAAGCGTGAGGCGTGGGCGAGGCGTCCGAGGCGAAGCCTAGCCTAGACGTGAGGCGAAGCCTTACAGGATTTAATTTTTTTTATATATATGTTTTATATATTATACATATAATTGTATTAAAAATAATACTATGTAAAATAAACATCCATTCTCAATTATTCAAAAGATAATATCATTTAAATTCATCATTCAAAGGTAATATCACCCAAATTCATCATTCAAAAGGTAATAGAAACAAAGAAAACAATCATTCATCTAAATCCTCTTCACCTAAATAAAAGGCAACATCATCCTCTTCATTGCCAACTCTAGATGAACTTGTCGGGTATCTCATCATTTCATCAAAAGAATCTTCCGAATCATATTCCACATTTCTTCTAGTTCTACTTGAGGATTCTTCATTACCCCGTTTTCTTTTGTATATAATAGGACCCTGAGGTTGAGTAGGCTCGCGAGGAGGAGGAGGAGGAGTAGGCTCACGAGGAGGAGTAGGCTCACGAGGAGGAGGAGGAGGAGAAGACTCTCTAGGCTCTCGAATGTATGAGCCACCTTCATAAACCGGGGTTGGCACATTCCTTACGGCCTCAACATTATACAATAACTCATCCTCAAGCCATGTAGGATCTTCCGGAAGAACGGGATCTTCTATCTCTGTTATCCATTCATCATCAGAGGCAATTTCTTCCACAACAATAGGATCATACTTCTCCATCCTTTTCTTACTTCTTTGTTGTAAAGCCAAATTGTACTTGACATAGGCTAAAGCATTAAGCCTTTTGTGTTCAAGCCTATTCCTTCTTTTTGTATGAATCTACAAATAAATCAATTCTATTATTCAAGTCTAAACATTTTAAGCAAAAATGACACTTAAGATACTAATAATATATTTACTTACCATTGAAAATGTGCTCCAATTCCTCTCACATCCCGATGCACTACAAGTAAGGCTTAGAACTCGGATAGCAAATTTTGTTAACTCGGGTGTTTTATGCCCAAAGCGCTCCCACCAAGCCGCTAAAAAACCAATATTAATAAGGTAAGTAATTTAAAAGTTAATGATAAAAAGATATTAACAATTAATTAATTAAATCTTACTTGGTGTTCGCTTTTTCCTAGTTTGCATAGCCATAGAATCCGCAAATGGACCACACTTATTAGTAAATAAATCCAATTGAACATCGGCCTCTTCACGTTCTTTCCCTTTCCCAAGCATCCTATCCATGCAAGCAATCAACCCATTTCGCACTTCATCAGTATCTGAGAAATTATCCTCGTATCGAAATTGTGGGTTTAAGTAATAGCCCGCCGCATGTAGTGGTTGATGAAGTTGATCGTCCCATCTACGATCTATCTTTCTCCAAATAGGCATATATTTTTTCTCCACTTTGTTAAGATTGTTTGCAATTTTCTCTTTTGCGGCTTCCATCAACTCATATATAAAACCCATGGGGGGTCTCTCCTCCGAATCAACCTCTCTCAAAACACAAACAAGAGGAAGAACGCCCTTAATGCAAAAGGAAACTCGACCCCAAAACTCACGATCATATAACACGTGATGCTTAGCCAACTTTGCTTCACGGGATTTTGCATAGGTACTTTCCGACCATTCTTGAGAGGTAAACAAAGCAACAAGATTTTCCTTTTGCTTTTGTAAGCTTTGTAGTGTAAGGAAAGAAGTGGCAAACCTAGTGACCGTCGGACGAAGAATTTCCGAATTGTTAGTGTACTTTCTCATCAAAGCTTGTACCCATTGATGCCCATATAGATACTTTGAAATACACCTAGCACGTTTGAGTGTGTCATCAAACCATGCCATCTTAGAGATATCTTCTAACATCAAATCAATGCAATGAGCCGCACATGGAGTCCACCACACCTTCTCTTTCCTCTCCATAAGTTTTGCCCTGGCATTCTTGTAGTTCGAAGCATTGTCAGATATAACTTGAACCACATTCTCCTCCCCAATTTCTTGAATAACGTCATCCAAATAACCATACAACAAATCTCCATTCTTAATAGAGGCCGATGCATCAACCGATTTCAAGAACCAAGTACCTTGAGGGCTATTGACAAGAAAGTTGATTAAACATCTACTTTTGCCATCCGACCATCCATCCGTCATAATAGTGCATCCATATCTCTTCCAAGCCTTTTGATGTTCTTTCATCATACTTTGTACATCATCAACTTCTTCTTTAAGCATCCAAGTTCTATATTCATGGCTTGTAGGAGCATCAAAGCCGGGACCAAAATTGGACACCAATTTCATTGCATTAACATAATATTCATTGTTTGCCGCATTGAATGGAATGGCACTAGTGTAGAACCATCGGGCAAGTGCTCGGGATGCTTGTCTTCTTTCCTCTTTTTTGAAAGGTGTATTCAACGTGGTTTGACGAGCTTCCGATGTAACATGCCTATCAAGTGGTCCCCTTGACCTAGGTGGTAGAAAAGAACCAATTTGTTATGAATGTGTGGCACTCGCACTCCCACTCCCACTACTTACATATGATGTCCTTGTTGTGCCCATATCGACACTTTCATTTTCTTCTCCACCACCACGATACAACTCATGACTAGCTTTCCTCTTTTCTTTAGTTCCCATAACATTAGCAAAACATTCTTCTTTCACATTGGGTGGGACTTTTTTACAACTTATCATTCCTCCCGAACTTACACCACCCAAGTGATGTTTGAATCTAGAAATTGAACCCGTGCATTTGTGGTTACAAAAAACACAATAGAAGTGCTTAGTGACAGGATCCAAATCTTTTGTCCATTGCCAAGCAAAATCTTTCTTAGAAAAAGAAGCCATATTCTTCAATACCCTAAACAATAAACAATAGATGCATGCATACAATTAATGAACCAACAATTTATTAATTAATTTATATACCAATACCAACAATTTCCAACAATTTCTAACAATTTCTAACAATTTATTAATCAATTTATAAATTAATCCTTTAATTAATTTATTAACAATTAACCCTTTAGTGCCAATTTCTAACAATTTCTAACATTTTATCTAAGTGCCAATTTATGGCAGTGCACATGAACACAATTTATGGCAGTGCACATGAACCGGTATAAGACTATAAATGCAAAACAGTTTGGCAGCCACACAGACATAAAACCGTGGGCTCTGTCCCTGTTTTCTATTCTGCTTCTTCCTCTCTCTCTCTCTCTGTCTGTCCCATGTTTTCTATTTTGCTTCTTCCTCTCTCTTTCTGTCTCTCTCTCGCAGAGCACCTTCGGCCTTCCCCAGAAAACACCGGCCCTAGAGAACTATTACAGAGGACTTTTCTTTAAGATCCTCGCTAGAAAACTAAATCCCCATTAACCCCAGAGAACTATTAACCCCTTCCCCAGAAAATAAATCCCTAATTTCAGAAACCCTAACCTTTGGATCTTGCTGACGGTGCTGGGGCTGGGCTGTTGGCGCTGAGGTGACGGCGGCGGGGTGATGGCGGCGTGGCGTCGTGGCAACACCGATGTTCTGAGCCTCTGGGCTTCTGGCGCGCTGGAGTAGAAGAAGCAAGGCAAAGTCGCAGAAGGCAAAAGGCAGAGGCAGAAAAATGGGTAGAATTCGAAGGTATGGTGGGTGATGAAGACTGAAAATCTTACCCAAACGACGTCGTTTTGGGTTTGGATAGTTTTTTTTTTTAAAAAAAAAAAAAAAAAACGTCCAGACGCCTTGAGGCACGCCTCCGCCGCCTCGGCGTCTCCGACGAAGCATTTCGCCTACTCCAGCAAAACTGAGGCATTTGCCTCTCCGCCCAGCCTCAAGGGCGCCCTAGGCGCGCCCCGAGGCGAGTTCTTTAAAACATTGCTTCCAATTAAAGTGTTTTGCTTCAATAATAGGAATAAGTATGGTAATGTTGAATTGTCTCAATTTTTCAACAAGGCATCCAGGAAACCACTTGTCCTCAACACCTCAATATAAATGGGTGGCAGAACAGATAAATTGACATATTCTTGAGATGGGGCATTTCTCATTGAAGTTGCTGCTCCGCAATCTTATTGGGTCGATGCAGTTACATATGTTGTTTACATGATTAACAGAATGCTCTCCAAAATGCTTGATTTTCACACTCCTCTAGATGTGTTAACAGATCATGTATCCTTGCCCTCTTCCCTCAATCTCACCTCTGGTATTTTTGGATGTGTAGCATATGTTCACCTTCACAAGAATCAGCGTACCAAGCTTAACCCTTGTGCAGTGAAATTGTTTTTTTGGGCTTTGCTCCACAACAGAAATGCTACTAATGTTATCATCATTCGTCTCATAAACTCTGTTTCACAATGGATGTTACATTCTCATAATCAGAAATTTTCTTTTCTCTTGATGAGCCTAATCGTGTCCTTCAGAGGGAAACAACTTATGAATGACCGATTTGGTACACGATGACGGGGTTGAAAGGAACAATTATCGAATGGCAGCCGACTATAGATCAGTACGCAGCCACCGAACGGCAGTTGTCTGACCATCAGGCAGCCACTGAACAGAAGCTGTCTACTCAGCAAGCAGCCACCGAACAACACATGTCCGACCAGCAGGCAGCTACCAAACAGAAGCCGTCTGATCAACAGGCAGCTACCGAAAAATAGCAAGTTACATATTAACAGCAGGCTACCAATCAGAAACTGTCACACGTTGTGGGTCAGCAGCTTGACCAATTCCTTATACCTGTCGATCACTTATTGCCAGCTTCTAGGGCAACTTCCCCTTCTCACACGCTTGTACCTGTTCACGAGTCCATGGATACTTCCGAGGAAAGTTTTTCGAAACCTAGTAAATTATCTAATTTTGATGTTGTTGAGCGTGCTTATCAATGACCTCTAAAACAAAATAGCTGGAAATCGCCAGTAAGATTCTCTCTAGAAGGGAAGGTCAAGTATGCCATTGCAAACTATATGTACCCACCCACTTTCGCCAAAGTATCAATCCATGATGAATCAAATGGAAGGAATAAAAATCCCAAGAAAAGTTGAAGAAGCTTTGAAGGATCCAAAGTGGAAGAAGCCATGCAGGTAGAGATGGAAGCACTGCATGAGAATGGGACTTGGAATATCGTACACTACCAAAAGGGAAGACAACAGTATGCAAGTGGGTGTTTACTATTCAACACAAAGCAGATGGGACCATTGATCGATATAAAGCAAGGCTGGTTGTTAAAGGACATACACAGACCTACAATACAATTACTAGGAAATGCTTGCACCGATTGCAAAAATGAATACCATCCTAGTATTGTTATCTTTGGTAGCTACTTTCGATTGGTCGTTGAAGCAATTTAAAGTTTAAAATGCTTTTTTGCATGGAGATTCAGAGGAGGAAGTGTACATGGACATTCTGCCTATTTCGTAAAGCATTTTATGGTCTAAAGCAGTCACCAAGAGCTTGGTGAAGAAGAAGAAGATGGTCGCTGAAGCAATTTAATGTTGAAAATGTTTTTTTTTTTTTTTGCATAGAGATTCAGAGAAGGAAGTGTATATGGACATTCCGCCTACTTCGTAAAGCATTTTATGGTCTAAAGCAGTCACCAAGTGCTTGTTGAAGAACCATAAAGCCAGCATTTGCAAATAAACCATGAGATGAAGGAAAGGGTTAGAATACATGTCCATAAAGCCAGCATTTGCAAATAAACCATGAGATGAAGGAAAGGGTTAGAAAAGAAGGATAACTATGATATCATTACAACAATTTGGACAATAACATTTTACATTGGTATTGAATTTAAAGCTTTATTTTCATTTCATTATTATCCGACTTTTGTATCAATATTTTGTTCATATATCCTTCAACTGAACAAAAGACTGCAACAGTGTTCCACAATTTCCCTCAGCTTAGTTTTTGGAAATTCCAAGTATACTTCCTGAACGTAGTCTACAATTTGCTCAAAAACTCGACTCCTCAGTTGATGGTCGCCTCAAATAATATCGTAAGCTGTTAGCAAGAACCTAAAAAATTTGCAAGTTTTACGGTCAGCAATCTCAGATGTGATCTTTTAGTTTATAACAGAATCAACCATAATAATGTTAACGGTTTTGCAACAGAAGTCTACTTCGGAAGTAATCAGATTGTAAAGATGGTGAACGATGCAACTTTCTCTTAGAAAACAAGAAAACAGTTAGCTTTCAACACATCGACCGCCATAATATATTAAATCCTAGCTTTACCTGCTGAAGAGGCTTGATGAGGGGTTTACCCCTGTAGTTAACATGAAATTTTGCCTTCGCCAACAACCCCTAATTCCCGAGACAAGAGTTAGCAATGAACTTGGTTACCAAAAACTAAAAAAAAAATAACTAGAGATGAGCTCCGTACATATGGATACTAGAGATCGGAAATAAAATTAGAAAAGGATATATTGAAGGTGCAACTGTAGGTGCGAAAAGAGCACACCTCTGTGTCGAATTCTCCTGATTCAACAGCAACATCAATGTCAGTTACAATCTTTACAAGATCCACCAGTAATCCTGGGCGATCTACTGACTCCACATAAAGCAAACTGCAGAAACCCAATATTAGCTGAACGCATTCATTCAAAACGTGATGTCAATGTGTCACTCATGCATAACCATTGAAGACTACTGTGTGCCTGTTGCCACAACAATTGTTGACATATGGGAATTGACTGTTGAGTTCTTAAAGCCCATCCTATCGAACACACATTACCTTCGGTTGGGGCCATCATCTTTGACGCTTATGTGGGTTGCTATGTCCACATCAACCTGATGAATTAAACACAGGCTTGAATCAAGAAAACGTTGTGGAATGTAATGCTCTTTTCCAGAAAATGGCTAGGGATATGACTAGGTATGGATCAAACAGCGTGGAGTAAAGGTAAACAAGACTCGTTGGAAGTTAAGATGGTACCACATTAGCCGAGTGTCAAGTCAAATCATTAATTACATTTCGACTGAACAAAATCAAAAGGTGATAGGCAAAAGAAATTATTCTCAAAAATTCATAATACTCATGATTCATAAACACATGAACTAACCAACCTTTGGACAAACGGTTGTCCCACCACAGAAAATTCAAGCAGACTATTATTCGAAAATTAAATAATAAATTTCAAGAACCTGTTCTGGTCGAGGCCCAATTCCAAACGCTGCTCCCATCGCTAACTGGGAACTTGATTCCTAACAACAAAATTGATTCACTAATAAAGTGTACAAAATGTAGAAATCCTGAAGATATTCCACCAGTTACCATCGAAAGAACAAATGGAAATGTTTAAGAAAGATTACCGGATGATACTCTATCAGATTATTTATAATTGTCAATCGAATAGCCTCAAGTAGTTCTGGATCTTCTACTTTCCTACCAGTATCACTGCAAACAAACCTCACCATCAAATAAGAAAATGGGTATGCAACAGCTATTGGAAGGACTGATCTGTTAATCCACAAAAATAGAAGGCTGATGATTTACTGGAAGCTAGATTTTTACTGCCACTTAAGGAAAACTGTTTTTTCTTCAGCACATATATCTAATGAGAAAACAATTATACCACTAGTATAGGAGTTAAAGCCGGTCGAAGAAGTAGAAGAAGCAGAAAAGAGATCATTGCAATCAATTGCAAATTGACAAATAATAACAAACTCATAGCAACAAGCCAAAACTATACTCAATGCAAGGGCACGAGGCTTGTGAAGTATACTCACGCTCTAGTGATGGCAAACTTGTTATGCTTCCCAGAAGAATCCAAATAGACATTGGCCTTGACAACATTCAAGCCGAGGTTTCTAAGCGCAGTCATCTGGTGATTCAATTAATGATAATTAATCTATGCTGTCATGTATGTTCAGATGTAAAGATGAAGATAGATTATTCAAACAAATTTATGAAAATCTATACAGGAGAACATAATAGACAACAATATTGTTGGAAGTCATAAGTAATGCTCCATACAGTATCGAGAAGAGCTCCAAGCCGGTCTCCAAAGGTTATCTCCACCACCGTTGCATCTGGATCAGAATCTTGGTCAATAATAACCTTAGGAATCGGAACGGTGTCAGATTCACTTGGACTTCCATCAGATTTACCATCCTATTTCCAACATAAAAAACCCAGCACAAAAATGAAGTATTCAGCAAGTTGATATTCAGTAATTACCAATTACAAAACAAATTTTTAGAATACCTCCACAGCTGTAGCAGAAGATGCTCGCGGAGTAATTGGGGTTGATGAAGATAATGATCTGTCATAGATTGCACATACACTTTCTAGACAAAGAATAGAAACTATGCAAGACCCCCACTTTCATGCTTGCGTATCTCAAGAATAATAAAGGTGTTAAACACACTACGACTAAAAATCTATCAGCTCGCTTGGGAACGTTGAGTTCAAGCCACAATCGAGGACTTGGACTCAAAGGTTCAAGAGCTGTTAGATAAACAGAGGTCGAACGATATCTGATAATTCCAACCTCAAGTGCAAAGGACATGATAATTCAGCTACATATTGAAAAATCACATATCAAAACTTGTTAAGTGAACAAGTCAGCCACAATAAACTGAGATGCAAAACAGACTTCATTCATACAAAAACGCCAACTATTTATATATTTTAATCTGCAGGATTTATTTATTTATTTACTTTTGTAACCAGAATACACAACATGATTAATCCATTAAATTAAGACTTCATTTATGCACCAAAATAAAAGGAAAAAATAGCAGAGAAGCATCAAATGAATACTTAGAACATAAACCAGAATCTCAGATATTAATACATCAATAAGCAATATAATTCAGACCTCATAGTACTAGAAAATGCAAATGAGATTAAGAACCAAACAAAAATAGAAAACAAAAGATTTCTACAACCAAAATAGGATAAGAAAAATAACAGAGGACCCATTTCATCACTTTTTGAACCAAAAAGAAAAAACCAATTTCTGAAAATAATCTAAGAAAGTAAAACAAACCCATTAAAGAACACAAAAAACCAACAAAAATTCAATATAACAGTGAGCAAAAAAGGAAGCATTACCTTCCTTTGTGCACAATGCAGAAGCGTTTAGGAGCAAACCCAAAGGTGGCTTCTGCCAAAGCCCCAGCTGGTGCTGGACTTGCAAGGTATTTTTTCAAACTGGAGTTACTGTTAAAGTTTACCCCAACACCGCAAGAAGCCATAGCCACGGCCATTTTTAGCTTCAAAATTTTACAGCCCAGACAGAAAGGTTGAGCAAACGGAGAAAGAAGAAGGGACTAGAAGGATGAACCCAAATCAGAAAAAGATGGTAAATTTGAAGAAGAAATGGGAATGTGAGAATTGGGTTCGGACAAGAAGGACGTGAAGTGTATTGAAGGAAGCAACTGGGGACCAACTAGATACATCGAATTATGCGCCATTCGATATAGGGGATAAGAGAGAGGGAGGTAACTTTTACGTGACAGAGGTGATTTCATGGGTTGTTCCGAAATATGGGATCCACAAGTTTTTTTTTTTTTTTTAACAAAGATATTACTTATATACTAAGAGGATGAAGATAGACTTAATTTCACAATGTGCTAGTAATAATATGGTTTAAATTCACTTTTGTCCAGAATCGGACTTAAGATCTCTCATTTACAAGCAAATAAGAATATTATTTAACCGTAGTACTAAATAATACAAGTTTTTAGAAATTTGTTCAAATATAAAAGTTTTTTTAGTCAAAATGGTTATCGACATTATCATAAATCTTTATTTTGGCATTTGAGATTTAAAATCAATAGAATAAGTCTTTGAGATTGTCCACCGTCAATTATTTGTGTTTTTCTATGAAATATTTCCGTTAAATTGACAGTGAATAATCTTACGGACCACTTTTATCGAATTTAGATTTAAGAATCAAAATAAAGAGTTATATCTCAAAAAAGCCATGGTAGATAAAATGCCATATAAAATATCATATATTTCGAAGGACTAAAAAAATTTCCAGGTAACTTGCCTCGTGCTCCTCTTTCATTTTCCTTTCTTCAATACTAAATTAAATTACTCATTATATGGTTTAGCCAAACTCTTCTTCCTCTAGTATAAAAATATCGATGTATTAAAAAAAAAGTAAAAGAAAAAAAAGGAACAAAATCCAAATTATCTTGCCATGCCAACGTCCATTCATTATTTGGCAAGTGAAATCCAATCCAAGTGCATTAGCCGGTAGGTATCAAAAACAGCGACGCGTTTGGTCTACAATTAACAGTTAAGATTGTGTTTCCTCTCTCTCTCTCTCTCTCTCTCTCTCTCTCTCTCTCTCTCTGCCCATTCCTCTCTAGCTCGCTCGCTCGCTCGCTCGCTTTAGATCCATGGACGTATTTCGTTGTTAAAGCATGTGATCCCTTTTTTGTTGTGAGTGTATTTTCACTTACCCATTATTTATTATTATTGAATGAGTTTTAATTTTAAGATATGTGTATATTTATTATACAAATTTCAAAAATTAAACTCACTCAACATAGTTAAATAAAATGTTGACTTGTTGAGTATCACAATCACTTATTAAGAGCTGTGAGCAAAATTATCCCTCTTTTTTTAATGTTTATGTTTTAACATAATTCATAAAGCACGTGCTTTGATATAATTTTTTTAGATATTCGTTATCACAAATGATTGTATGTGTGTACTGACAGTTGATTGTTCTAATAGTTATGGTTATTCTTCTCTATTGAGAATAGTTTTCCATATCGGTCATATAACAAACTATTTGGCTATTTATTAAAAGGCTTAATTTTTAGCTACACCTCATGTAACTCAATTTTGATCTTACTTTGCTCTCGACAGTTCAAAAGTTACAACTTTACTCCCTGAGACTCAAAATTCGCTCCACTTTTCCATGTTACTGCTCTTATGTCAAATAACTGTTAAAGTTGCTCACATGGATGAGTAAAATTGTAATATATAGGCTTTTTTAAGTTAAATCCCATGAAACTCGATTTTAATGTTGCTACACCTCCAAAAGAAGTCCTTGTTTAAAGAATTGCGCTACCATTCAACCACCCAGAGAAACCTTATGCCTGCATTTATTTCTGCGTAGGAAAAAAAGGATCCCAAAAGATTGAAAGCGAAGAACAAGCAGAACAATTCAATCAACATAAAGTAGAGCTGCATCAAGTTTTCATTCTCAATTCTACAAGAATTTTATGAAAGCCTTTCATTTACTTCTCTTCGATGGAAGTTTTATTTTCTCATAATGTATCCTAATCTTTTGCCTAATTCTTCTTCTGATGATCGATTCAACCTCTGATACAAAAAATATACCTTGATTATATTTCATCTCTTCAACAAATTTAGTAATGCATAACGACCAAGTTGTTCCAATGGAGAGAAGAACATATGATTAGCTTTTCGGGAAATTTCCAAATGAACAATTTCAACGAAATCTTTCAATTTCTTATTACTATGTTCAACTCTATGTTTTCCTCTATCCATAGAGTACATTGAATGTACAGAAATGGTTGTAACAGAGTTTTTTCTATTCGTATTAATAGCTTGGTCTCGGGCCAAAGACATCTTATGAAGAATTAGGGGTTCGGTCGTGCCGAATCCCTGATTCAAATCATTCTTTCTTTTGATAGCAAGGGCGGTTGGTTCACTCGCGACCTTGTGTGTGCCTCTTCCCAAGGTTGAGCTGTTGTGTGCTTCTTGTTGGAAAAATCTCCATTTCATTAAGCTAAACTAAGCCCTACTCGCTAAGCGAACTTCACCTCCTGAAACTCAAGTATGTAGTTCTGATTCATCTTGCTGTCGTGTCATGCTTGTTCATCTGGTTTATCTTTTGTGTATGTAGTGGTTGCATGGGTTTTTTTTTTTTTTTTCCCTTCTGGTTTAACATGTATATGCAAGGTTCTAAAAAATTTAATGACCGTGTTCTGGTTTGCCATCTTTTCGTAATTGCATCATATAGAAATCCAATTACTGTTGCTTGATGGAAATGTTGACTGCTGTTCGGGCCTAGTTTATTTGGTACAATCTAGAGACCTGGTGTATGAGGGTCATTATGAATTGTCATGCGGCTTCAACTTTGTTTTTTCATAGAGTTATCTCACCAGTACTTTCTGACCACCATTTTTATAGGGAGTAGTGTTCTATGATCTATCTTGGTAACTTCCGTTTTGTCTACAGCTAATTGCCCCATTTGTTGTTCTTAAGACGTGTTCTCATCAATTGTTGATAGAGTTATCTCAGAACATTTGATAGAGGAGGCACGTTCCCCTCCACCATGAATGGACCCTCATCAATTGTCATAACATCATCACGTAAACTCCAGGATAGCACAATGTAGCATCATCATAAAAAGCATTACACTTGTAGCATCAGAGTCCTTTCTTGTTTGTATCATAATGTAACGCTCTACTATCACTTCCTTGTTTTCGTTTATTTTACAATGTGAAGTAGAGAACTGGTCAATGGATCGAAGTTCAGTATTAGGATTTGAACATGAAATTGCGTCTGACTACTGATTGTGAACTTCAGGTATAAATTGGACGTGGTCAGTGCGGGAAAGAATTTTACAAAGATCAGGAAGGCAATTACAGCAGGTTTTTTCTTCCATGGCGCTAGAAAGGACCCACAGGAGGGTTATAGAACCCTAGTCGAGAACCAGCCGGTTTATATTCACCCAAGCAGTGCTCTCTTCCAGAGACAACCAGATTGGGTCATCTACCATGAGTTGGTTATGACAACAAAGGAGTACATGCGCGAGGTGACGGTCGTTGATCCCAAATGGCTGGTAGAACTGGCACCAAGGTTCTTCAAAGTATCAGATCCTACAAAGATGAGTAAGCGCAAGCGTTAGGAACGAGTTGAACCCTTATATGACAGGTACCATGAACCTAACTCTTGGCGTCTTAGTAAGCGTCGTGCTTGATATGTGTTTTAGCATGAACTCGGTCGTGGTCTTGTATTGATTTGCATTAGAGTGTACTGTGTATATATCTTGTAATTCCTCAGCTTAATTTTTTTGACATCGAGTAGGGGAGCCCTGAATGATAATTATGGAGAAGGTATCTGAATTTTGAATTTTGTGGTAAGAAAAAAAAATGTAGCACTTACTTTTTCAATATCAACATGTTTCTGCTCACACATGAATTTTCATCTACTATTTATTTTCTTAATGTCTCAACTTGAGTCTTTGCTTTTTCTAACCATGTCGGCTTTCTAATCTTACATCTAATTTAATAAGTATATCGTTTGACCAAAAAAAAAACAAAAAATCAGATTGGATTCTAATATCTAATTTAGGAATTAAAAAAAATGATGTAGCTGATACATAAAATCAAGAGACGTAATTTAAAAAAGATATTATATGTTGTCCGTTTTGCAATGGCAGTCAACTACCCGAGACAAAAATATTTGGCAGTGCAATGCTATTTAGACGCTTAAAACAAACTATATGCTGACATTTTCAAGCTTACGAATGATAAAGATTGTCATCAATCGTGTCAGTTTTATATCTAAACAGCCCCAAGTGTTATTTGGGAAAGTCCGACGAGAGTGAGAGGGCATCGTTTAATGGACTTAAACTTATATTCATTATTATTTACATTCATCATCTAGAAATACAATCTCTGTTATCACTTGATACTACAATCTAGTGGTATTCCTTTTCACTTGTAAGTGAGAGGTCTTAGATTCGATTCTCGCCTATGGCGAATTTGAAACACATTATTTCTAACTCATTGTGAGGCTAAGCCTACCTCCTCTCTTAGTGTAGATAACATCATTTGTTGATTAAAATAAAATAAAAAACACATGCGACCAGCTGACTTCTTTCTTCTAAATACAATCACAATTCGGTATTTCTACAAACAGTCACAACGTGACCAGCCAGAAACACCAGAAAGCAAACCACAAATTTGCAGTGCATCATATGCGGTTTTATTTAGCGATCCTCCCGTCGAACTGCATTTGGGTCAGTGACCATGTCCATCATCATCTTCTCCGGTGAATCCTCCCAATTCCCGAATGTTTTCAAGTCAACCTAAAAGAGGCAAACAACCGTGGTATTAAAATTAAGATGAAATTATTGACCGTGTCACAAGTATATGGATTACCTTCCGTCTTTGATCATTGAAAAGTTGTTCCCTCTTCTTGTATGAATCTTGCACATCCTTTGCGCCTCTTCCACCAAGCCCCCAAACTTCAACTTCTGAAACCAAAGCTTCAACAGGTAGGAAGCCCTGAGATGCACCAATTCGATTAATGTTAACTGAGCACACCTTATCCGCCGTGATTTTTTAGTCACAGTTAAGAGTCAAATGCAACAATCTTGTATACCTGATCAGGAAAGAGGGAGCCAGGTTGATACGTTTTGTCAGCTGCATGGTGGCGAATAGTAACTTTGGAAAAATCTTCATCAACAAAAATTCTTTCATTTCCCATACTTCCACCAAATCCTATCCCCACAGGCTTTGGTTTCGGCTCATACGCCCTGCCAGTGGGATGCAGATGGCAATACACAAAGTTCTTTTCCTTTCCTGTCACCAGATCATATTTTGTTACTTGGTTAGCTTCACAAGCCTCTGCTCAACAATTTTAAGAAAGGAAAATAAACTAGATCACCCCTCCTTCCGTTTTTCCTCTACATTACATACCAGTAGGTGGATACACATGAAAGACTGGAGTTATAGCATATAGATTTCCTGGACTTCCATAAAAAGCATCCCTGTTTTCAAAACCTTGATACGCGAGTGTACCTACAATCCATTTTCTTTCATTTTCTCTATCATCATTGGCATCTCTGGAAGTTGCAGAAATCAGCATGAGCAGTGCCCCTTGGTAACCCTCAACATTGGACCAGAATCTATTCAACCCTCTGCCATGAACAGATGACCTGCAAAGTAGTATGCAATCAAACACACTAGACAGTAAAAAAGGTAAAGAACTGCTCACAAAATCTTAGCCTCGTTCCTACTGCAATCTGTCATTAAATAACAGTAAGGATGCTTTATTATTATTTGAAAAGGTGAAACTTTTTTCCAAAACAAAAAAACTGTAAATATAATTGGTCAAGTTAGCCACCCATTAGCAAACAAGAGAAAAATTAATTGACTTAGCTACATCTAATAAGACAGTCTAGATAATCATGACACTACAACTTTCCAATCTTGAACAAGATCAGATAAAGATGTGTTACTAAACACAGGAGAAACATGAGCCTAAAGAGCCGCCCAAAACTTGACCTCCTCTCACACCGCCTCCACTTCCAGCCCCCTAACATCATCAAAGATTCATCAACTCCTTTCTGACCAAATAGCCCAAACAACAGCTATCACCAAACAGTTCCAGAACCCTTTAGCTTTTTTCCACCACCTAAAATCTTAAACTTGTCACTAAAAAGAGAAGCAGTCTTTTGGAACCACCCAGCAAGTATTAACATCATTGAATAGAAAACACCACAATTTCCAGCTAAGAGGGCATGACATGAGACAGGATCAGCACTCTCTCCTGAGCTCGAACATAAGATACACCATTGTGGCCACCAAAAGGATCCCGGCCTCCTCCTTTCGAGTAAGTCGCAAGTGTTCACCAGCCCATGGAACCCCAACCAAGCTAAAACCTTAAACTTAGATGGGACCTTTGATTTCCAGATCAGATTAAAGGAAGACTACCCAGAATGCCTCTTAACCGATTAAAATAGGATTTGCAAGAGATTTTACTAGAAGACTCTAAACACCATCATTTGGCTGTAAGGATACATATATGCAAACTTTGTAAGAAAATAACAGTAAGGATGCATTAATGCAAACTTTTTCATAAAAAAATAAAACACATCTACTACAATGATTGACATCAGAGACCAGAAAACAATGAAAAAGTATGTTTAGGATATTATGCTTGTATATACTGGTATTGAATTAATATTCAAGAATTCATTTAGAATTTAATCATTCCAGAACAGAGTCGAGTAACATGGAAACTGAATGGATTGGCAAGAATTGAAACACAAAAGATCAAGAGGTTAAAATGACAAACCTGTAAAGTAGGTTCTTATCTATTCCATTAACGCCACAGTGGGGGAAGCATAGTTTTGACATCTCATCACTTATTGAGCCTCTCAATGTGAGGGAAATCGCCCATGCCATTCCTTGGGACAAAAGATTGGAACTGTTTGCCATGGTGGAGGAATTATCTGCCAGTGAAGAAGTTGAGCATTCCTGTCCATCCTGCCATTAAAATCAATTCCATTCAGGTAATAAATATACCCAAGTTTATAGAATGGTGAAAACTAAGTGTTCTAGAAAAGTAACTCATTGTATAAGCGAGTACCGAAATACATAAAAGATACTCCCAAGGTTATGTGATAATGAACCTTTAAACCATGAAAACATATCGGCAAGGCAACACGATGATGAAATATAAGAGAAATGGAAACATGAAGACCTAATATTTTGTTCAATTGATAAGAGATATTACATACCTTCTGAGAAGCACATTTATTTATTATTCCATGCGCAAACCGTGTAAAGCAATCTGGGAGACCAGGCACTGTTTTCAAAACCCAAGATTGAAACTTCCCCACAGGAAGTTGAACTCCCAAGCCCGAGAAGTCGCAATCCCACACATTCAAGCCACTGCCAGCTTCAGCGCACGAAACAATAGCGGATAAAACAACATGTTTAACATCCGGCAAGCGTAAATGTAGTTTCTCATTTGAGATTTTCGAAGTCCTAGAGTACCAAGACATGGCCCAACACATCCAAAGAAGCATAAGCACGTCCGCCGGCATAAGCGATCCGGTTATCTTACAATCAGCATCATCAGATTCAAATTCCAAGTTCGAAGGCGAACTTGCCTTTCTAAGTGTCACAGAAAAAACTCTCAGCAACTTGTTAAGTGACACAGACGCAGACATTCTTGCACAACACTTATTATATCCCCTAACCAACTCAACCCAATTCACTCCGCCTTTATCCGACACGAAAAACAGGTCCGAAATCGACCCACCAAGATGATCCAGCAGTGCCGGAAACGAATCAGGCATTGGAATGGCTTCACATGCTACTGGGTTTTTGTAAGTTAAACGGAAACATTGCTGAAAAACCGTATGATTCTTTGTTAAAGTCCGACCCAAAAGCTTCAATTTCTGGTTGATAGAGGCATAAAATGAAAAAGGGCAACTTTACCTGCAGGGAGTGGAGGGGGATTGCATTGGATTGGGGATCGGCGAGGTTGGAGAAAGTTTTCTGGAGCATCGGAAGAGCTCCGGTGGAGGCTGCTAAGGCTTCCGCCTCTCGTTGTTCGTTCGGCACCTTGTGCTCCGTCGAAGTTGAGGCCCCCATTCTCGCTGACGCCGGCTTGCTTCACCCAGTATCCTCGATATTCTGAGATTTCGGCTAGAAATATCGGTGAGACGATCGAAAACAACCGAATTCTGTTGCAGTCACTGCATAAAGCGGTGGAGTTTTGTATTCCTAGGGACTGGCGTAATGTCGTGTGGCCTTCGGAGATGTTGCAAGGCCAAATGGCCAAATACCCTTGTTCGTGTGGCCTTTGGATATTCTGAGATTCGTGATGTAAAATGTACGATGAACGGATATAGTTAGAAGATTTTTAGAATTTTTACTAAGGGAATCTTCGCCGGATCCTTTTTATGTTGTAAGGCCAAATGATCATAAAGAGATTCACTCTGGATTTTTTTCTATCAAGGTTACTTGATTAAGTGATCGCGTCTTTCAAATTTCACCAAACGGTCCACTTGTTTTGATCTCTTAAAAAATATGATAATTTTTAACCGTTGGATGAAATTTGAAAGACATATATTACTTGATCTAATTTGATGATCTTAATGAAAGAGTTTCGGATAGAATCTCTTTCCCAAATGGCCAAATACCCTTGCTCGTGGTTCAAGCAATGTTTTGACAGGTGTACTTGCTTTTTTGTTTTATAAGCTTTAGGCCTCTAACAAGTACGTCGACAGAATAAATGGCAGATTTGATGTTGAGTCGGAATGAATGTTATACAGATGAGATGAGTGATCCTATACATGATTACAAGAGGTTATATTATTTTTTATATTATTAATTAATTTTACAATCGAATTCTCACTTTATTCGTAAAATTTAAAGATTCAAATTCTTTATGAGTGTTATGTAGCAAAAGTGAAATAGAATAAAATATTATAACGATATAATCTCTCATCATAAGTGTTATTACATTTCTATAAATATTGGTTATTTTTAACATTTAATTGGTACTTGTTACATGAAAACTTTAAACGCTATGAAATCATTTGAAGCAACTTCTTAGAAGTTACATAAATTCTCAATCAAAGGTGTCGATCTAAGAACATGAAGGTCGAAGTATGTGCTCAATGACTGTTTTCATCAATTTGAACGGAAAATTATATTCTTTAAAGTTTAAAAATAGTTTGAGATTTTTATTAGGCCTCTGAAGAGTTTACAATACTATTTTCAAAATATACACAGATTTGTATAAATGGCACATATTCGCCACGGAGTATAGAAAAATGGTCCTAGTATCCTTCCAATGGTGTATGTCAATTATTTGTATTTTTTTCCAATTAAAATTGAATAATTATCCTACGAAGCTTGATAAATAAAATCAATATTATGGAATGCTTAACTTAAAATCCTTGATAAATTAAACACATTCATCCACCTCAATCTTGATGGGGTTTTCTTACAGGTTATAGGTTCTTCTTATCAAATACGTAGTAGGAAATACGTTTTTGGACTCAAACTTTGTGATTTCGATTTGTGATTGATTTGCATACTAGTTGGTCGCTTTTAAAAGCTTAGTAAAACTATTGATATATGAAAACAATTTTAAAACACCTTGATGATTAGATTTCGCACAGAGTTCCAAAATCTCAAGAAAATCAAGAGTATGTTTATGCAGGGAAAGATTCCCACCTTGATTGGTTCAAATATTCCGTGCTCACTTGTGGCAGAAGATTCATGAAAGTTGTCATGGATCTCTGTCAAATTTTGGATCAAGAGTTGGATGTATTGGAAATTAAACCGTGCAGAAGCAAACGATACATCCCTGAACTTGGACGAGTTACAAAATGAACAGCTCTTGTGCTTCCATTCTTCTTCTTCCCAAGTTTACGGACTATATAGCTGATAACACGTCTGTCCTCCTCCCTCAGGTATGTGGTTTTTCTGGTTGCTTTACTGCTTCAGTGTGTGTGTGTCTCTAGCTTTTGGGAATATAATCATGATTGTTCCATGCAAGGGTGATGATTGGTCTTGTTTTGTCCTATAATTTGCATTTTGTGTTTGCAGCTACATTCTTCTTAGCCTGCAGAGCTATATGTAGCATTCCAAAACTGTTGGGAGATGTTTAATTAGCAATCAAGCTATTTGGTTTGCTGACAACACCAATGGGCATCGTGTTACAATCCATAAGACATTTTAAGAAAAACTCACTATAAAACACATCAATGGTGTTATTTCTATAACCAATCTAAAAAGAGGCGATATCCAGTGACGGAGCTAAGATTTTATAGCAATCAGAGTGTAACAAAGAATTTATCACATATTGATTGTTTATATGTACTTTTCAACCATATCTTCCAAAAAAATAACATATACTTTAAGTCATACACATGTTTGGCAAAAATATAATTTTTATCTCAGATTTAGTTTCTTACATATTTTAGTCTTCTCAGACATTTCTATCCAATGTTTAGCATTGAAAGTTGTATAAAAAAATGTTTAATGTTGAAAGAGACCTCCGACCCGATCTCATTGATAAACATATATATATATATATATATATATATATTGTATTTACAACTCAAACACTCGAATTAATACACATTTATACTGGTCTTTGTGTATATGATGTTTGTCCTTAATTATTTGCAAAAATAATGTATAATATACATGAGCTGTATTACCTGTGTATAAATCTTTTGGACCAGAGGGACCAATTGCCCCTTCCCTACCTTTGCTAGTGGCAACATCGTTTTAGGGTAACGATTTCTTCGCCCTCTTCTTTCTTTATGTACTCATCGCTTTGTTTTTATCTTGAATTTCTTTCATGTTACAATGCATAAGAATTATACTTTTGATGACGTCCACAATCTGATTAGACAGGCCGCACTAAAGATACCAAGGTTTAGTTTGACATTGATGTGCTGTGAAAACAATCCTTTCAAAATTACTGTGTGAGGAATCAGTTGTGGAAAAAAATCTTTTGATCTCTAGTAAATTATATATTTAAGGATATATTCAATTGAGATTTTAAAAGATTTTAACGAATTATAAATTTATGAAGTTTGATGGCATTTAATTGATTTTTAGAGATTTCACATAAAATTTAAGTAAAATATCTTAAAATAGAGGAAGAGTAGGAGAGATTCGTGAGTGCCTAATGGTTTTGAAAATGACTAATAACTTCAAATATATATATATATATATATATATATATATAGAAAAGAAAAAAAAAAAAAAGGAACATGTTGGGATGGTAGGAATTTCACAATAATAATGGGCCAACATCTTTTATATAGTAATGGCCCACTCAGGCCTACTAGCAATTTACGGGTTATTGATAATTATATTCCATAATTTCTCGGCAACAAAATTACAGAAGATACCACATAAACAAATGAAACTATATATTCGAAATTCGAATACAGGCTACGCAACCTTCAACTTACAAACTGCAGCCCAAAGCTAGCTTTCAAGTGGAAAACATTATTAGTAATTAATAGAAAAAGAAAATGATTATTTAATCTAAAGGAAAAAGGAAGGATGCAACAACATAAATATATACATATTAGCTATGGAAGAGTGCTGCAAACAGAATTTGATTCCAACTATCCGGAACGCCGGGAAGACACCAATGGGTGCAATCCATGTTCCGGTGGCCGCCGAAACCATAGACCGAAGGGTGGCCGTCTTTTCTTAGTTGTGAAAGAGTTGTTATGTTGAGCAAATGAACTGGCTTTGACATTGTCCGCAGCACGTTTTCTAGAACAACTTGTGCTGGATGTGAACCTCCTGGATATTGTGCCCCCATCACTGGTGCCCTTTGTCCAAAACAGTTCCCTGATTTTGCATCATCGCCCCATTCTCTTGGACTGGCCATTACCACAAACACAAGATTAGATCACAATTAATTGTACGAGGGAGAACTAATCGTCATTGCTTTTATTTTTGGAACAAAATTAATGGTCAAAGTTTTTTATTCGAGCAACAATCTAATCTAATCTAAGCTATGGGGAGGGTGATTCAAACTTGGATGCAGAAGAACTTGTCTATGTCAACTTGGCAACGACTAGGTCTGCAATATTGTCAAAGTTGAACTAAGCGGATGATGTTGTTTAATTAGGAGGTCCAATTGCTTAACTACCTCATATGATCTGGAGAAACACCTTGAAAGAAGACCTTAGTTTTACCAGGATCCACACTGGAGTCCACCCACCTAGCCCATGTCTTCAAAGCTTTCTCATATGCCATCATGCGATCAATGTCTTGGTGTACGTTGTTTACGCCATATCGAACTTCCTCCCACCTGCATTGCTTTAGTTTAATTAATGTAAAAACTTGAAGAAGGCAAAAGAAAAATAAAGGAGGAAAAAAGAAAAAAAAAAAAAATAGCAGAACATTCATGCGCATACATACGGCTGTTTTCTTCCAGCATGAAGCCACCAATGCCAGGTATTGAAGACCAAGACATCAAAGGTTCTCCAATAACTTCCATTCTGAATCGAGTCGAGCATTAGAACACGTCCGCTGCTCTCATGCACAATATCTACTAGGAAGGCATTCCGGGACAGTACGATCGAAACGTCGTAGGCCTACAAATTAGTGCAAGTGAGCACGATCACATCTTGTAATTAATATATTTCGTGTGATTAAGGGGACCTGATTAGTAACATGACGGGTTTATTAGATGGAAATGAAGCTAGTTAGCCTTACCGGAAACTTGAATGTGGAGACACCTCCAACCCTGTTTGAGGTGTAATTGGCTTGTGGCACTGATTTATGAAGTAAACATGTGAGGGACTGCCATTGATTTATGCTCAATGAGTCCCCTACAAATAGAATGCGCTTCCCTCTAAATTTTTCCAAAAAGCTTTTCCCATCGAACCTACATATATACGTACATAATTATGGGTTAATGTTAATTCTAAGATTATAAATTAGTATATGAATGCGTGAGATGACACAATTTTTTTATAGGGAAAATGACCCTTAATTAGGAATAATAGAAATGCAAATTATGACGAGGTGATGCTCCCAAAATAGTTTAGCAATTAAGGATGATTATTGTAGCATGCATTAACCATGTGGTAAATACTTTCAGAGAAAAAAAAAAAAAAAAAAAAGAAGAAGGACAACTCGCTACAATAAACATATTTTAACATTTAGTTTGTAGAAATATGTTTATGATCAATCTGTCTACATTATTGAAAATTGACCATTTGTATAACGAAATACCATAATTTTTTTTTTTTGATGGTCAGAATATGTTTATTGTAACTATTCCCCCCCCCCACCAAAAATACCATAATTTTTTTTTTTTTTATGGTCAGAATATGTTTATTGTAACTATTTCCACCCCCCCCCCCCCCCCCTCCTTTCTTTCCCCCCTCCCCCACACCAAAAAAAATTCCACATTCTGCTATAGTGGCAAGAAGGACTGGATAGAGAAGATGAAGAGAGAAAAAAAAAATGATGGATAAGAAATGTACGTTGGTAATTTGCATGAAGTGGGCTGCCATCTGTAGTTGAGATACTCATTGTCTGGTCGACCATTCTTTTGGCAATCGAATTCCTTCCAAATGAAGGGACATTCTACTGAATTGTAGAGAGGGTAGGACTTATCATATACCCATTCCCCAAGGAAAAGGTCACACCCAGACCCAGAACCAGCACTGTTTACATGTTTTATTGTCCCTTGACTCACCACCCTTCCTCCTATTTGACACAAAAGAGAAAATATCAATGCTGCAGAAAATATAGAGGAAGCACCCATGTGGCACAAGAGGGTGATAGCTAGCTACAATATTCTTACTTGCTTAGAATTATAGTCTTCTTTTGTTTAAATAAGGGGGCTTCCTCTATATGCATAATCTTTTCTTAATCGATATGGCAATTAAGGGCTTGTTATCTATTAGCTTTTCTTGGCTTGACATATTAGCTTTTCTTTTATAATCGAACACCCTAATTAAGAAGAATATATTTTGATTGCTAGATCAGCAGTTTAACAACATAACATTAGTAATTAGTTAGACCATTGATTGGATGGTTTTTGTCTTCATATCTAGAGTTAAATTCTCTGTTTGACGACATATTTGACAAAAGTGAACTAATCACTCTTTATATTGAATTTTCCCAATATAGCTTTTGTTCAAAACAAAGGCTCTAATACAAGCAAAGGCCCTTTTTAAACCCCACAAAAAAGCTAAGGTCTTAAACCTCTTCATATTAATATTTAAGTACATTAGCAGTAAATAATCATGTTGTCATAGACAAAATAATCCAAGAAAATTCTAATAGCGTTCGACCTTTATCTAATGGTGAATGAGAAAGTATAACAACAAAAGATTAAATCTGATCCACTATTGGATAAAGACTGAATGGTAGATGGCCACTTCCTTAAGTCCTGTGGTTTAGGTAAATACTAATATACTATATTGCGATATACAATGGAAGGCAAATAATCTCCATATACCTATCTAATTGAATAGATATTGGCCTTTGCAAGTGGCAAAATTAGTGGTCGAGGCTTGAGTAGTTTAGGCGTATAGAGGACCTCTTTGTTTGGATTATTCCAACTTCTGAGTGGTTTTTCTCCACTCTAAAATGATAAGGTTGGAGGCTAGCGACCTTCGATTCGTCACATTTTTCTTTTTCCTTTAATTTTGTCATTTGTTTCGACCGAACCTATACAATATACATGCAGCTCCTCAGTGTGGTCTTCATCAAGATTCCAACTTGCAGAAGATATATACTGAACTACGGTCGCTTCAGTGATTGCTGCGGCATAGGATTTACTTCCCTCTAAATTTCCTCTTTTTTTTTGTCCCATCTTTTCACACTTTTTATTTATGTATTTTTTTTTTGTCCTTATCTCTATAAAAAAAGGCAATACAAGATATTGACGTGACTTAATCGTAACCATTACCACGTTGGCTAGCTGTTGGAAGGTTCTGTGATATATGCTGCATTGGGGCCCATCGTTTCAGTGTTTGTCGGGGCACATGTGGCTGTCATAAAAAAAATTGTCTTATGACTTTTGCGGAGACCTGTATTTTTGTTAACAGTCGCCCGGGCTAGTCACTATGACCCCCCTTGTGAGGGACAGATTTGATTAAGCAATCATAAGCCAGTCAGTGACACAATCATTTGATTAAGAAGTTTACTGACACAATCATTTGATTAAGAAGTTTACTTGTGGCACAAGCATCACATATATAATCTAGTATAAAATTAATTCATATATTAACTATTCTAAAATTAATTCATCTTTTCTATTGACAGAAATCAATAATGGGACGCCTTTATAACAATAATCAAACAGATTCACTAGGTTCACCAAAGGCTTTGAGTGTCAATCCTCTGAAAACAACTGAAAATCCAACTTACGAAAGGGCCGTTGTGTTTTCAACCAAACAGGATTATCTTATTCTATTTACAGTACGGTAGCTTCCTCCACTTGTTGATTACTTTAAGTTCATCTTTTTCAAGGAGAAATAAATGTAGTTGAAGTTTTCGAGCCTAATAATACAATCATTTATTTTTTAGGTCTTTTATCAAAAATTATGTCTACCAAAAATCGTTCAAATCAGAAATTATATGATCATTGGCTTAAATGATAGTCATTTTTAGTGTTTTTTTACAGAACCGTATTCATTCATTTTCTTCACTACAAATGAATGTCTTATTGATTTTAGATTTGTCTAAATTTTTGCAAGGAAGATTTGTGAATGATGAATTGAAATCTAGACGATTCGAATTCTTGAAAAAATTACGGAGTGACCTAGAAAATTTGTGTCAAAATTAGACAAAATCCAAAACTAGTAAGTCATTCATTTGTAGTAAAGAAAATAGATAAATATGATTACGCAAAAAAAAAAAAAAAAAAGCCCACTAAAATGATTATTATTTTACAGCCATATGGTTTCGAATTTTTTGATGATTTTTTGGTAGACATAATTTTTTAGGGAAGACCTAGAAGATGGATTAGATCGTTGAAATACAATACAAAGTGAGCCAATAAAATATTTGTCAAAATGGGTGTAAAAAGTGTCATCCTAACCTAAACCTATATAATATATGTATATATGTGTATATATATATATATTTATGGTAGATTTACCCTAAGGGGTGAGAGGATAAGTAGGTATTGAACTCGTCATCCATCCATGATACCTGTCACTTATAAGTGAAAAAAAATACTAATTGACTGTATTAGTAAGTGTCTCTTTTTATAGTATATATGTACTTGTTCATAACTGTGTTACTTTTGATGAATAAAGATGATGATGATAAGTAGAAATCGCATGCTTGCGTATGTAAACCATATTAATTGGATGGAATCACCAATTGGACTAAACCTGAGGGCTTACATCTTACTTTTAATTTTCCGAGTCCACATACACAGTTAGTAACTGATTTTGCTTTCTATCAGAGATGCGTATAGAAGCTGATTCCAAGTATCAGGAACTCCGGCTAAACACCAGTGGCTGCAGTCCATGTCCCTGTGACCGCCGTGACCGTACACAGATGGATGCCCATCTTTTCTTAGTTGTGAAAGGGTTGTGACATTTAGCAAATGAACTGGGTTTGACATTGAACGCAGCACTCTTTCTACTACTACCTCTGCTGGATGTGAACCTGCCGGATACTCATCCCTCACCATTGGTTGCGTTTGCCCTTCACAATGCTTTGAGGCTGCCTCTCCCCATTCACTTCCACTGACAAAACATTGCACAACTAGAATGAGACAGGAAAACAAAAGGTTGCAGAAGAAATGTAAACAAAATGAGCAAACAATTGTGTTAAAATAAGGTAAAACACTAGCTAATTGATACTAAATCCTAAACCAATGTAACAATGTTTCCTTATGTGATGAAAGCCACAAGATTTCTTACCGGATAACCGAACATGTGCATTTGAATAAAAGTTCGTATTGTAAAGGTTGACGTTCATAATTTGATAACATGTTAATGCGGTTACATTACAAACAATGTGCTACATGAAATTAGCCTTACTTATTATGATCTGGGGAAACGCCTTGGAAAAAAACTCTTGTTTTTGTCGATTCCAAATTTGTATCAACCCATCTAGCCCATGTCTTGAGCGCTTTCTCGTATGCAACCAAGCGATCCATGTCTTTGTATGTATGCCTTCCTTCTTGAATTAGATCCCAACTGCAACACATACGTTCATTTACTTAACGATGTTAATTAACCAAATTTTTACAAGCTAAATTTACAAATTCAATTATTTAAGCAGTTTTGTATCTAGCACGGGCCCATAGGGTGTTGGAAAATTGAACTTACGGTTGCTTCCTTCCAGTGTGAAGCCACCAATGCCATGAGTTGAAGACCAAAACATCACTATTCCTCCACAGTTTCCCACTTTCGATAGAGTCGAGTTTAAGAACTCGACCAGCTGTTGTGCTTATTGTATCAACCAGAAATGCATTCCGAGAGAACATGACCTTCATATTGTATGCCTGTAGCCAGATGTGGAATAATACGATTTTAGAACCACTTGATGACATCAAATTACTATAGCTAGACCATTAATAACTGACGTGTGTGTGATTGAAAGTTGATGTTCTACTCTAAAACTAATTAGCAATAAGGAAATTAACTTGATTCTTTATAATCACATGCAAGGTCTCTTAATTCTCTGACGTTGGACAACACTCTACATCCTCGCATGCCTCCTCACACATGACGATACTCAAGTGAAGCGCATGGCTGACACATATTAGATCAAAGTAATGATGCACTTGCAAAATTTAGTTACCAAATTTTGTTCACCAAATAATATGCGGTACTATGTCGTTATTTATTCAAATCTAGCATGTTTTTAACCTTATCTATAACCAAGGAGGCCTGAGTCGTCATGTACTAAACAAATTTAATGAACGTAATAATATTCTGGTAGCTGGTAGCTAGAGATTTATAGGTGGTCTCACCTTTTTTTATATCTTTTTGTCAAGTTTTGACGCTGAGATGCTATATTTTAGGGAAGAGATTTGAAACTAAGGAATCTCTAATTAAAGAAATCTATGATTAATATTCCATCCTTGCGGTTGCTCTTTCCAGTTCACATGCATTAAGCTTACCTAATTTCCAAAATAATTGCTGGTAGAGTAATGCATGAATCATTACAGCATAATTGTCGTCTTTTCTACTATTTTTATAGTTAGGTGGACCACTACATCTACAGTAATATACTTATATGAGACCCAAAAAATAAAAATAAAAAAAGAAAAATCAGTATCCGATTCCTAATTTTTAATGTTTATTGATTAAGACCTTATTAGTTTTTAAATTTTGAACAAAACTCCTAGTGTTAATATATTAATGAATTACATGTAAGTTACATAAATTTTTATAATAAAAATTAGTAATTGATTTAGAGTTTTAATACTCATACCCTTATTAAACTCTTAATTAATTTTCAATTCAAACATTTCCAAAATATAAAAAATAAAATTAGAATAAGTTTTTACCCATTAAATTTTTATAAAAAAATTGGGTAAATTACAAAAAACTACCTTAACTATTGGACCAGTCACAATTTCATACCCCATCTTTAAAAAATATCAATGTCATAACTCATCTTACGAATTTGTTATAATTTCATACTTTTTATCAGTTTGTCTGTCAATTCTTCTGTTAAATAGTGACGGGACCCACTTTCAATTCCAACTAAATTAAAAATTAACTAAATATTTATTTAAAAAAAAAAAAAAAAAAAAACCAACACCAACAACAACAACAACAACAAACCCACATCCAGATCCCTTTCCTTCCCCCCTCACCTCTTTGCAACTCCCTTTCTGCAACTCCTGCTCTCTCTTCCTCCATCTCCACCTCCGCACTCCTCCCCCTCCCCCTCCCCCACCTACACACCCATC